GGTTTCAAGACCAGCCTGGGCAACACAGTGAGACCTCATCTTTACAAAAAATATTAATAGAAAAACTAGCCAGGCTTGGTAGCGCATGTGTGTAGTCCCAGCTGCTTGGTCTCCTGAGCCTGGGAGTTGGAGGCTGCAGTGAGCTATAATCATGCCACTCTGCTCCAGTCTGGGCGACAGAGAGAGACCCTGTCTCGAAAAAAACAAACAAAAAACACAAAAAACTAACCAAAACAACAACAAAGACACCTAGTAGTAAAATATAAGGAAAACAAAGTTATTTACCACGTAAGTCTGGATGGGGATTATCTTTGGTTGGGAGGGAAGACTGCGATTAGTAAGGGTCCCTCCCTCCAGGGCAGGGTGGAGGGCCGCCGGGCCGCCGTTCACTCAGGAAGTTTATTCTGATGACTGTGACTATCGCTGTCTAGTGTTTTAGAAGATCTCAAAAACCCAAGTCCATCACACCCCAGGGCTTGCCTCGTTTCAGGCAAAAACGGCAGCTGCGTTGCGAGGCGTCACGTGATCTGTGTTCCAGCGCTCAGGCTCCTTGTTCGCACCGCAAGGAATCGCCATGAAGCTCCATCTGCAGCTGTCACTCCAGAAAGAAAAGCCGTGGGCCTGCGTTGCATTATGTAACCACACCAACTTACGTAACAAACCCACCCTGTCCCTTAACAGGGACTTAGTGACAAATGGGCTGTTCTTGTTCTGGGGACTGTCGTGTTTAAATGGATGACCATGCCCAAGAAACCCAGACATTTGCCAACATTAAAAATGTAACTCTAAATGATCTTTTGTTTACAGAAATGTTCACTTGCATTTCTGGATTTCTCGATAAAGAAAAGGTAAGAAGCAAAGCTCTTCCCCTTCAGCTTGTCAGAATGATCCTCTGCACACAGTTTTGCCAACAAGGGCGGCCATCTTTCATTCCTCCTTTCACTATGCTTTCAACCGCCATCATCGCTGACCTGTAGCTTGTACATTACGAAAAGGCTACAGGAAGGAACATGACAAAAGTCACCACGCACTGCCCAAGCTGTAATGTGGAGAATCTGAAATAATAATTTTCACCTCAAGAGAGAGAATTGTCAGCCTAAGACCGGTGTTCGGTGAACACACACGGTTGGCACCACCGGAGATGCCCATGTGAGTCTTGGTGCCCTAGTTACCAATGTGTGACAACAGATGCCAGCGCTGGCAGACCAGGGTTCTCAGCAATACACACCTTAATCAAGTGCACGACTCCCCTCCCACATCGACTGTCTAATGGAGGGAAAAGACCAGAGGGCGGACAATCAAGAAATGGCAGCATCTCCCTCCTCAGAGGAGCTCATTCTTGAGTTGCCATAAATGGGATTATATAATTAGTTCAAATTATACTTAAATGTAATATATAGTGGGGGTGTTGACACATAAAAAAGTCTGCAGTACATTCTTTGGTCGTATCGTTTCCTTCACAGAAAAACCCGAATTCACTTAAAGCAGGTAGGCGAGATCTGAGACGACCCACTGCCTGCACAGTACGTGGCAGAGCCTGTGTCCAAATAAATCACAGTTCCTTGAGCAAACGAAGAAATCAAGGGCCTCACACTTTCCTTTTTGGAGATGACATGCCTATACTATTAGAACGAGTATCTGCTGTAGGGAATGTGGCGTACGGTTCCCCAACTCCTCACTCAGCACGAGAGGGCAAAGTGTGGAGGTCATCACGGCTTGTATCTGCCTCACCCCTCACCATAAGAAACTAAGGTCGATTTCCTAAAGCCAGTTCTCATTGTCTGGAATCTGCCTTACATCCAAAATTCTAAATGATGAGAGGCAAGCACAACTCACAGAAAATATTAATACCAAAAAGTGTCATCAATGTTCAGGACCTTATAAATTCTGGCAAAAGGAGACTGACAAATCTTCCTAGGTTACACAATCGGGTAAAATGAGATTAGGAAAAAAACCACAATGCTTTCCCTTAAAAACATTTGAGTTGTATTATAAAAATAAGACGGATAAAAATATTCCTCTTATTACAAGTCTAGAAGTTACTGCAATTGCATTTCTTTTTTTGGTTGGGTGAATTACAATCCCTTTCATACAGAGTTCCTTAAAAAATTCAAAGTGAGGTTTTATCGTACCTCTTTACATGGCTTTTGGAAAACCATCTATATTGTTAGCATCTAAACACACACATGAATGAAAACTGAAATTTCAAAGGCCATGACCCGATATTTGCTGTAATATTAAAGAGGAATATGAAAAGGCTAACACTCACAGGTCTGTGTGGAGCAAGTACTGAAGAATTTGAAATATTTGGAAGGGAGAAAAATTCCACATGCAAGACAGACATCCAAAATGGCTCAACATAATTTATTTTTTTTATGTTAAAATGTACAGAGTTCTTTTGAAAGTACTTGCTAGAAAGGGGGGGGGAAAAAGATATTACATCCAAGTAGAGGAAGGAGGCCAACGGGCCCAGGAGCGCATGACACGGAGAAGTGTAAAGGCATCTAGGCACCCCTTCCCCTTAGCTTACAAGTCACCAGGAACCAAGTACAAAGAGGTTACAAAACAGGAAAAGCAAATATAAACAGACAGGAATAGACTTAGCTTCATTTGTACA